TCAGAGACACCAGGGTGACTTTAGTGCAGATAAGAGAAACCTCCCCCATAGAGTTGAGGTCTGCAGGCAGTAGCAATGCTAGCACCAAAGCAAGAGGAACAGTTTTGTGATGGAGCTCATTTACAAGAGTCTCAATCACCTCCTCCAAAACGCAGGCTGCTGCTGCCACATCTCAGGGCGGTGAGGGCTGTCTTCGGGGAGCTGCCCCCCAGTACGGCAGCAGATGCCTTGGCTCTCTGCTGGGCATTTGCAGAGGAGGCGTAGGCAGCGTTTGCTGGAGCTGTGCCGCAGGACTCACTGGTGCGTGGCTAACATGCCTGGGGAGCTCAGCTGGATGCATAGGAGGAGGGCCGTCATTGGCAAGCATGGAGCCAATGATGTCTCCTGGCCTCTGCAGAGACGCTGGCTCTGCCTGAGCTCAGCCGAGCCCCTGTGCTCTCCCATCCGGAGGGGGCTTCGGGGATCCCAGCATCCACTTTCCCAGCACCTGTTTGGAAGCCACACTGAGAACAAAGTCCAGACTAGAGCTTGGTCTCCTTCCCCCTATGCTGCTTCATGTGCCATCTCCTGTCTGGGAGATGATCACAGAATCACACAGAATCACTCGGTTGGAAAAGACCTCCGAGATCATCACGTCCAACTGCTCCTGTCTACCCCCTAAACCATATCCCTAAGTAACTCATCGACCCGCTCTTTAAATACGTCCAGGGATGGTGACTCCACCACCTCCCTGGGCAGCCTGTTCCAGCTTCTGACGACCCTCTCAGCAAAGAACTTCCTCCTTATCTCTAACCTGAACCTCCCTTGGCACAGCTTGGTGCCGTTTCCCCTTGTTCTATCCTCCATCACCTGGGAGAAGAGCCCAGCACCCACCTCTCTACAAGCTCCCTTGAGGCAGTTGTAGGTGGTGATGAGGTCTCCCCTCAGCCTTCTCTTCTCCAGGCTAAACAACCCCAGTTCCCTCAGCCGCTCCTCATAAGGCTTGTTCTCCAGACTGCTCACCATCCTGATCATAGTATTGAATTAATTTCATACGTGGTGTTCAGAATTCCTCTAATTAGAAGATTTTTCTCAAATTTTAGGAAGGTGTCAGTATTTGTGAGGTATCAGCAAGCATGAAGGCAAAAGCACCAGCTTAGGCAATCACTCCAGCCTCTAAAAAACTGGAAAGGAGAAAAATCAAAGTGTGTATGTTTGCACATGGGGAACAGGAGTTTTTCTGCTGTTCTGAGCTTACATTTTCCTTCTTCTTCCTGATCATTGGTGCCTGAGCTGCTTTTTCCGACACAGGGAATTCCTGATAGATTAAGGAAATGTCTTGGAATTTAATGTATTTAATATCAAAACTAAGGGAGAGGGAAAAACTGCATTGCTCTGAGCACTGACGATGCCTCCTCCAAGCACTGTCCCAGAAGGCAACTGTGTTTAAACCATCTATTTGCTCTGCAACAGGATCATCCTTTGGAAAGATGTTAGCTGGCTGTTTTGGGGCAGATCAGCGCTGATGCTGCTCTGGTTCTCTGCCTGCAGTTGTCCAGGGATGATGCTTGGCAGAGCCTCACTTGGCTTGCTGTGCAACTTCCATTTCGGGGCCAAACTCGACGCTTCTGTCTCTTAATGCTGCGTCTTTGACCTCTGCGGGGCTGTGCCCGCTTTGTACGGGATTGGAGCTGGGCTCTGTATCTACTCGTTCTGTCAAACTGGACATAATGGTGTCCTCAGGGCTTTCAAGTAGGTGGACAAAGAAGCCATTTCGAAGCTGCTGTGAATTAGGCAGAATCAGACGGTGAAGAGAGGTCTAAGATGGGTCTCTCTTCAGGCAGGGAATGCTCCAAAATGCTCAAAATGGCGTTTGGGGGATAATTTTACCCAGCTCTTTGTCTGTGAAGAATGAGGGCTGTGGAGGGAGGCACACGGCCAGGGTAAATGCCTCAGCCCTATTGTCCCCATCATTCCCATTGAGCTTATGAACCCCCATATAAAAGACTTACCTTTCACTAGTATGATTAAGAAAAGGCCAATGTAGCTTTCCCGCTCACCAGAGCATGAAGCGTGTTTAATTTAATAATGCTGATAAATCTTAAAGCCAGGAGCATTTGGCTAACACATGACCCACTTTTTCAATCAATTGGAAACATTTACATAACGGCCTGATGCAGGGTTCGTCCTGTGAGGGATGTGGAGCAGGGGATGGCAGACACCCCCGCGATAAGCATTTCAACTATAGCAGATTTGGTGAAAGCAAACGGCTGGTCCTTAGTGGGCAAGGTGTGACCCACCTCACTGGGACTGCCAGCTCTCCCACTGCTGCAAGGATGTGCCTGGGTTTAGAGCACCTCAGCCACCCAGCTGGGCTTTGGTGGTGTCACGGCTTCGTTTCTTTCCCTGCGGCAGGGCTAGATTGTTCCTTGGACAGGACATCCCTGGGGATGGCTGTCCCCCTGTGCGGTGGGGGTGTCTCCTCCATGCAGGCACATATCTCCTGGCACGTCAGTAGCACCAGCAGTGCTGACCTCCACAAATCAGCACGTTCATCCTTTTCAGCGTTGCTTCCCATGCACAGAAATCAACACGGGGTTAACCAACACAGCCAGTTATTTATTTTCCTTTATTGTTTGCCTGCAGTGGGCTCGGTCTTAAAAGAGAATGTTCCTGATTTTGCACGTCGTGCTGTTGTGTGTCAGCCATTACACATTATACTGTGTTCCCATTACTCTGGTCCCCAACGTCATCACCTTCCTCCTCTGAAATACTCTTCTCCTCCCCACCTTTAAGAGTTCCTTTTGACTTGACATCTCCAATACATTTAATTTCTTATCCTTCTTGTGAGGATTTCACTTCTTTTCAGTTGTAACATCCAGCGGCCTCAGGATCAGTGTTTGCAAGTAGGTTATAAGCAACCTCTTTCCCAGCAAGCTGGTCTCCTGTTAGTTTGGTAGGAATGCCATCTCCTTGCTAACCATGCAGGTTTTATCCATTCTGGGCTTTGTAATAACCTCTTGGAAGATGTTTTACAACAAACCCATCTCCCAGCCATGATTTGCACACTGCTGTGTGTTTATTCATCCTAACTGCCGCTTTGCATTAAAGTAATACTTGGGAACTGGTTTGCTGCGCAGCACCCCTCCCCCCACCCCTTCCCCCCCCATATTTTGGTCACATAAGTCCCTGTCTGAGCAAAGGAAAATGCCAGATGCTTGTGACCGGGATGAGAAATCTCCCATCTGATAGATGCTGAGGGATTAAATAACATGGGGGACAACTGCTGCAAATCTCATAGCACTGCATGTAGAAGGATGCTGGCACCTCCCTCTGAGACAGGACTGGTCTCCTCATGCAGTGGGCTACAGATGCATTTCACATGCTTGGTCCTTACACAGAGATGCTTTTAAGAAGGTGTCAGGACAGAAGAAGAAGGATTTGTTGCTGTTCTGTGATATTCCCCCCCCCCGCCTTCAAAATATCAGCGGCGTTTTCCCCTCTAGAGGGCAGAGGAGGAAAGAGAGAGAATGGAAAGGGAAAGGAACACGACAGCACTGGGAGAAGGTTTCATTAGATATATGTAAAGCATGAATGGCTGGAAATGGCATGATCTTGAGATGCAGTGCCCAGAGAGTGCGCTCACAGGTTGGGTTGAAAATGCAGATGCATAGCAGTCAGGACACCAGCTCCATCCTTCCTGTTCTGAGCTCCTGGGGTCAGATGGGTATTTCCTAATTACTGAAAAACTGACTTTTGATTTTCTGAGTGCCCATTCATGCTTGAAGTGGTGAATTTTGGTTTGCTAGACAGGTGCACTGGCTCTTTTAAAGTCCCAGTTCAACCATCGGTCTTTGGCCAGGCTGCTCCTGTGTCTACAGCAAAGCTGTGTACAAGAACTGTACAAAACACTCCTTTGACCTACATCATCTTCTGGTTTCACTAGCATTCTTCGGTGAAAAAAACCACCAATCAGCATAAAACCAGAAGTATGTCTTTTATTACAGCGTCACATCTAGCATTTCAATAGCTACCAAAGGTTTCCAGCTGACTTCACAGGTGAATGGATTGGTACAATTTCCCTTTAACCAGGGAATAAAGTCACCAATATTTTATAGCTCTCATGCACACTTTGTTGTGAAAATTAAATATATCTTTTGTGCAAAAAGCCCAGTATAAAGCTATTCATAAAATCTAATATCTGCATCCTGGCTTTAGAGATAAAGGAACTGGGCAGCATAGCCTACACAGGAATGCTGGAATGTGAGTAAAAGGATGTATGTGTGTAAAACAGTCTCTGTTCTTTCAAACTGGCAGAAACGGTGTTTGCTTCTCCATTCATGTTTCCTGCAGCGAGCAGTCCCTGCAGCGAGCAGCCAGCCCAATTCACAGAATCACAGAATCACAAAACGTTAGGGATTGGAAGGGACCTCAAAAGCTCATCCAGTCCAACCCCCCTGCCGGAGCAGGAACACCCAGATGAGGTTACACAGGAAGGCGTCCAGGCGGGGTTTGAATGTCTGCAGAGAAGGAGACTCCACAACCTCTCTGGGCAGCCTGGTCCAGTGCTCTGTCACCCTCACTGAGAAGAAGTTTCTTCTCAAATTTAAGTGGAACCTCCTGTGTTCCAGTTTGTGTCCGTTACCCCTTGTCTTATCATTGTTTGCCACCGAGAAGAGCCTGGCTCCATCCTCGTGACACTCACCCTTTAAATATTTATAAACATTAATGAGGTCTCCCCTCAGTCTCCTCTTCTGCAAACTAAAGAGACCCAGCTCCCTCAGCCGCTCCTCATCTGCACCCATGAAGGTGCTCAGCCCATGACATTTCCCCGCAGCTCCTCCAGCCGTGGCTTTCCCATGCCCTGCTGCTCTGCAGGGTCCATCCCGCCTCGAGGAACTTGCCTGTTTTGAGAGAAAACCTTTCCACCTCTCTGTCCCCAGGTGATACAGCCGTGGTGCTGTCTCCTTCTGCGCCGGGGCTGCCCTCCCAGCTAACTTGCGTCTCCCATCCTCCGGTAGGAAATGGAGTCGAAGGTCTCCGAAGGCGGCCTGAACGTCACCCTCACCATCCGACTGCTGATGCACGGCAAGGTAAGGGGCTCTTGGTGAGGGGAGCCATGCCAGGGTCCAGCCAGCCCCATGTGCCACATCCTGAGCCCCAGGCTGCTGAGAGCAGATGTCCTCATGCTGATGGGAAGGGTGGCATGGTGGGGATGGTGCTCCTGGCCCCTCTTGTGCCTGGCCCCCCACCCTGTCCTTCTGATGGGGACTTCTGATGTGTTCACTAGGTCTTTTCTTCATTATGGGATCAGGCTGGATTGTCTTCATGTCTTCTAATGACATTTCTTTGCGTTTGGCTTTTTTTCTTGTAGGAAGTCGGAAGCATCATTGGGAAGGTAACAACATATTTTAAATGTGTATTTAATGTTATTGCCTGCACTGTTTGCTTCCTGTGGTGTGGTAGATGCCAGTCACCCATTCCCTATAATGTCCTTAAATGCTTAGCGTACTTCAGCATGTTGCTGCATTTGTCTGACAGAATTTATGAGACACTCACAGAGGCATCTAAGACTGTTCCCCTAAAAAAAAACCAACCTCCAAACTTAGTGCTGTTTCCAGCTGCTTCACTGGGGTGATGAATAGGTATTTATGATCATGTTGCCCTGACATTTTAATCAAATAGCTTCATTAAGAGACATTAATAAATGTCATGCAGACCCATTTAAATCCTGCTGCACTTGCCTCTGAGGCTACAGGACACATTAACTTGTGCAGAAAAGCTTCACGAGGAGCTCTGCTCCCTGGTGCTTGCCATGGCAGTTTGGAAAGCCCTGGCTATACAGGATTGGGTTTTTGATGTTTTTAAAAGGCAGGTTTGTGGTAGTGAAGATTTGCAGCACAAGCACCTTCTCCTATATGCTTGTGCTTTATTTTTCCATCAGCCTGTCCAGGCCTGGGAAGATTCACAGTTTTACCTGCTATATACTGACATATATTTGTAGGCATATCTGAATATAAAGACATTAGATCTCTCTATAGATACTAGATAACTGCCCTTCAAAGCCACTCTGAAAGTGTTAGCTTTTATCAACATCTGACCAGCTTCTGAGCTTATTCTATGTGGTTTTCCTCCTAATGGGAAAAGCAGAAAGAGAGGTGGAGGCTGCAGTTGTATGTTAGTAGCTGTTTTTTCTGTCATGTCGCACAGACACAAGGAGCAGGGCTGTGATGGCATACACGCTCAGCTCTTCAGCCTGCCCATCACATGGGGACAGAGGGCCAGGCATCGCAGAGCTGCCCAAGTGTTTGGCTGTGTGTTGCCACGTCCTAGAGAGATGCATGCTTGGAAGAGTTGTTTTGAAGGTGGAAGTCTTGAGTTCTTACAATAGCCTGTGTTTCTGCTTCTTATTTCAGAAAGGAGAGACCGTGAAGAAGATGCGTGAGGAGGTAAGCAACCCTGCTCTGTAGAAGGATTTGTAGGAGGAGGGGAGAAGAGTGGGAAGGGCTGTCAGGCTCTCCTGCCTGGTCAGAGCTGCACATTGCCCTGTGCAATATGTACAGTAACTCCCAGGGTCAGGACACACAAGACAGCTGTGCCCATAGCTCTTTGGTCCAGTTTTCTCACTCCATACTTGAAGTCCTATTACATTTAATAGGAATTTTCCAGAGCCAAGAATTTGCTCTTAATGAAACACTGTCACTCGTAAGATGCTTGAGTTTGTCCAAGGTCTTTGTGCCTGCAGCTGCCAAGGAGTTAACAGATCAGTAAGCAGCACTCTTCTTTTTACAAGCAGTGGCCTCATGAGCTGGTCTTGCCTTGATCGCTTGGGTCTGCTTTGCAGTGAAAGGCCCAAAGCAGATGCTTGGAAAACCTTTCTGAGGGTCAGGGTAAGGCAGAGCTGGAAGCATCGCAGAGGGCAGGGGTGGGAGTTTTTCATGGGATGTCAAGAGGCTGGCATAGGTGATGACCCGGGACGAGGCTGGGACCTGCTGGTTGCTTGGCTATGGCTGTTTCAGGGCTGTCCTTCTCTTTCCAGAGCGGGGCAAGGATCAACATCTCAGAGGGAAACTGCCCCGAGAGAATCGTGACCATCACTGGACCCACCGATGCCATCTTCAAGGCTTTCGCCATGATCGCCTACAAATTTGAGGAGGTGAGCAATGTGATTCCTTTGCCCCTGGAGGGCAGAGTAAAAGGGTCTGCATCCAGACCCTTGGGTGGCCCACCAGCCAAGCAGAGCTACAGCATGCCCACTGCTGGGGCCAGCAGTGCAGATGGGCCTGGGTACCTCCAACCCACGTGTGCCTGGTTGGACTTGGTTAACTTGGCACAAAACCTTCCAGCTAGTCCAAACATCTCTAAACAGGCAAGAACTGAGGTTCAGTAAGGTGGTCTCACAGTTAATTAAATGGAGGGATGTACAATGACTAGCCATGATCTGGGGGACATGACCCCTCTTTTCTGGCCCAGGGCATTTGGGTTGGCCTGGATGGCAGGTGTCTGGTCAGGTACCAAGGGCTGATGCATTATTCTTTTCTTTCCCAAGGACATAACCAACTCAATGAGCAACAGCACTGCTACCAGCAAGCCTCCGGTGACACTGAGACTGGTTGTGCCAGCCAGTCAGTGTGGCTCGCTGATTGGCAAAGGAGGCTCCAAGATCAAGGAAATCAGGGAGGTAAGGCAGACCTGGTTTCATTATTGCATGTAATCACAGCTCCTCGAAGCTGATCTGTGACCAAGGGGGAACTGCTATGGAAAGGGGGATGCTTATGGTGGAAAGTGGGTTCATGCACCATGTTGCTTCCCAGGAAGATTCTGCTGATATAGGAGCAGCATCCCGTGGGACCTTGCCGGCATACTCCGTCAGATGCAGGCAGGGTGCCACATCTGAACCTGTGTGGGGCAGCATGGCTCTCGGGAAGCACGTGTCATCAGAGCTGGAGCTGGCTGCAAGGAAAGGCATTCAGCTGCAGGATTTCTCCTCCTCTCTCTTTCTGTCTTCAGTCAACAGGTGCTCAGGTTCAAGTGGCGGGGGACATGCTGCCCAACTCCACGGAGCGGGCGGTGACAATCTCGGGGACACCCGACGCAATTATCCAGTGTGTCAAACAGATCTGTGTGGTGATGCTGGAGGTACAGTCTGTGACAAAGGGGGTAAAGTACATAGGAAAAAAAACCCAGCTGGCACCACAACAGCGCTGGGAGCTGTGGAGTGTGTCTCTTGTACCCTTCACCATACGTTGTTGGACCGCTCTCATTTCCTGGTACCTCCGTTTGAAACGCACCCAGTGTGTTTTTCCCACCATCATCCGTTGTTTCCTAGAGTCCTACACTGGAAACCTGTCTGGTTGCGTGCCCCAAAGGAGATGGTTTGTGTTGTGGTGGCTTTGGGAGAGAGGGATGCTGGAGGAGGCCAGGTGGGCTGGGGTGACCATAGCCTGGTGGGAGGAGAAGGCCAGCGCATCCCCTGTGCTGGGGGAGCTGAGGCTGGGAGTGCAAAGCCAGGCCCCAGTTGGGCACAACAAGAAAGGTAAAGAGTAAGGCTTGTGGAGAGCAGGGCCCATAGATGCATAGATGTGTGTCCAGGGTGCTGTTTTCTGGGAGAAACACTGACAAGCAGAGCTTGAAGATCTTTGCCATGGAGAGATGCTGCTGTACTAATGGCTTACTGCCAGGGATGACCACAGCCATGTGCCCCTCATCCACACCTGCCACCTCAGATGGGAGAAGCTCCAAGAGGAAATCCCTTGGGACATGGGATGGTGACAGCCTCTGCTCCTGGTGCCTCCCAGAGGTAGACAAGCATGGACCGATGTCAGGCCCCTCTGCCTTGCTGCACAGCCCACACACTACTGCCCTTTTATGGCAGGGAGGAGTGTGTTTGCCGCTGCAAGAGCTTCAGGTGAAGACAGCAAGGCTTGGTGGAGGTGAAGCAAAACCAAATGTAAGCAACTTCAGTTTGGCAGCAGCACAGCTAAGGAGGAATTGCCACAAGCCACGCTACCTACCGCTGCTGGTAGTGATGCTCAAGTGGGTACACTGTGCTGCCAGGAGTGCAGTTTTAGCTTCATGGTGACTCCAGGTTATGTTCTGGACTGTTGAAGAGATGGACCAAAGGTGTTGCTTGCAGGTATGTTATAAAGTCTTCTGTGGCTGCTGTTCTCACCGACCAAAGCAAGAGGTGCTGCTACTCTGTGTGGCCCAGCAATGGGAAAGGGAAAAACCCATAGTCTTCTTGCGGTCTGAAATCTAGGATGTTCTCTGACTTTAATAGTGTGCAGAGATGCTCCTTAAAATCCTTCTGTCTTAAATTATCTTACTGCAGAAATCCTTGCTTATCCCCTCCAAGATCTGTAACACAAGAAAAGAAGAAAGCAGGTTTGTGATTAAAGAGTCTGTGCTTTCATCGTACAGCATTTTTGCAGAGCTCTGCTTAGCAGGAAGATTTGGATGTGCCACTTGGCCTCAAGTAGATGTCTAGAAGAATGTACAGAAAAAAAGTGAAGACTTTTCCATGAGATAGTATAATTTATATTGCCTGTGCGTACACAGCAGTAACTGGGCCATTTCTCTTTGTGTAGAACCAGAAGGCTTTTATCTGAAATCTCTCCTGAACCCTAGAAACCTCCAAAATCTCTTCTGTGGCATGTTTGTTATGTTCAAGAGAAAACTGACAGAGAGATAACTTGGGTGAGATGATCCTGTGCATCACACAGAGGGAGGCATCACCACAGCCTCACATGCATCACTACAGCTTCTGCTCAGACCTACCCACAGCAGCAAGGAGAGAGATGTCCTGGCCAGCTGGAGCAGGGCTTGCACAGGGCAGTGTGTACGGGTCAGTGTCTCTGCTGCTGACGGCTGTCTGGCTGCTCACACGCACCACTTCCACCGTACAGCTCTGGAATAATATCTCTGGAAATGCTGGTGGTGTCATCTGAGAGGGATTTCCAGTTTCTGGCTCCTCCAGTGCTTGGCATTCTGGCCAAAGCAATTGCTGCTGCTTGTCCCACCAGGGCATGGGACATCTTGACTGCAACAGCAACACTTTGCTGCCTCTACTGCGTGGCTGTCCATATCGTAGCTTGGATGGCGATAGACCAACCAAGTCCTGAAGGTGACCTTGTTCCGGTGGGGAGCAAGATGGGAGGGATCGAAGAGCTTATGCATTGTGCCAGATCACTCAGATGGGTTGCTCACTCCTTCTGATGCCTGTGCTCATGATGCCATGCCGCAGCTCCCGGTGTTTGGTGGGGCTGAGATGACTCTGGGACAGGCTGTCAACATGAAAGAGCTCTCAGGCTGCAAAGAAAGCCACTGCATGAGGAGGCTTGTGACATCCATGGATGAAGAGCCTGGTCTATGGGTGTATCTCCCCATCTCACTCCTCTCTGCAGGGTCTTTCGAGGAGGGTGCTGCCTTCCAGCATAAGGCTCAAGTATAGACCAGGTGACGCAGTTTGTGAAGAGCAGAGTGAAAGCAAGGGAGGCAGCGGAGATCTGGGAAGTGATTTAGGGGCCTATGCCTTAGCAGGGCATCTCCTGCACCCCAACTTGTCCTTGTTGTCCATTAAACACTGATTTTCCCCCATGTCCTCCCATCCAGAAATGCAGTTTGCCTGGTGCGGGTGTTGCTGGTGGCGGCCCCGGGGGCCGTGCTCCGTCGGGTGCTTTCTAATGCTCTTTTTTCCCGCCATTTCAGGAAAGCTGTTCTAATGTTCTCTCTCCCTCTCCTTGTCCCTTTTCCTAGTCCCCACCAAAAGGTGCCACCATTCCCTACCGCCCAAAGCCCGCCTCCACCCCTGTCATTTTTGCAGGTGGTCAGGTAAGAGCCGACCCGCTTGCAGCCTCCACTGCCAACCTCAGCCTTTTACTGCAGCACCAGCCGCTGCCCGTTAGTGCACTCAGGTTTCTTGCCTTCTGACTTGCATGGTGTCATCCCATCCATTGCGTGCCACAGCAGGTGAACTGAAAGCTCTTTGCAGAACCGTGGGCAGTTTGCAAGCCCGGGCAGATGGCTTAGCTCCTGTGGTGGCTGCTGGAAGATAAGGAAAGGGCCAGCCTGGGTAAACAGGAGGTTGGCTCTGCCAGGTGCTCCTGCACCAAGAAGAGGCTGAAGTTTACTTCATTAGACCCAAATTCAGCATTTGCCAATAGTTACCAGCGTGAAGGAAAAACTGAGAAAAGCTTCACTGAGCAAGAGGCCATGACCATGCTCTCACTGTGGCTCCAAATGTTTATTTTCTGGCATCTCTAGTCCAACTAAAAATAAGTTTGCATAGTTGTAATTGATCCGAGATAGGAAGGCCTCATCCTAGCCACTCCAGGACTGTGCTGAGCCTCTCTTTGGGGCAGCCTCTGTGAAAAGGTCATCCCCATCACTGGCACTCGACCAATTTGGGGTGCTGCTTCTGCCAAAAATGCCATAACCTCTGCTGCAAAGCTGGGTCTCAGCTCTGCCTACAGGAGAGCCTGCATTGACTTGCCTTCAGTGACACTGCGCAGTGCTCAGTCTGCAGGCACGATGCAGTATTTCTGACGACCCTTGGGAAGCGATGGTAGATTTTTTCTTTGCAGGGTGACCATTACACACACATGCCATTGAAGGTGGCGGTTGTTTTGCAAACAAAAACCAGCTCCCGTGCCATGTGATTTAGGAAACAAGAGCAGTTGAGTAGGCCGCTGCTTTTAAGGAGGGGACTTGAACCATTGCTTTTTCCACCTCATCTACTCAACTCACGTGGTGGCTGAGGATCTGCCTGCAGATGCCACCATTTCATGGTACACCAGTACCTAGCAGGAGAGGTTTCTCCCCAGCCATAATAAATGGCAAAAGGACAAACTAAGGATGGACATAAAGCCCAAAGCACAGGCTATTTCAGACAGCATGCTGAATTAGCATCTCTGAGTCATTGCCAGCATCAGGAGTGTGTTGTTTGGTCTGAGCAGCCATCCTGGAAAAGAGCTTTGAGTCCAGCTGCTTGGTGAACTTATCTTCTCAAAAGGGAGAGTAAGATCGAGGTAGCATTTCTCCTGCTGGCAAATGGTTGGTGTCTTGCACAGAAGCAACTTCGTGGGAAGAAGCGACTGTCTCTGAAATGAGAGCTCTTCCTTGCTGCCCCCGAGGAAGCACTGGTGAGCTCCTTGGCTCTGCCCGAGGGGTGGCACAGGGCAGGTGGGCAGAGGACAGCAGGTGACAGTCAGTGGTGCTGTGAGGTGCTTTGGGGTGTATTGAGGGACACGGTGGCTGTGGCCACTGCTACATCATCCATGTGCAATGTTAGCCTCTGCCAAAAGCTGGGGATTGCACAGCCAGGTGCTGCCGGAGTTGTGTTGCATCTGTCCAAGACACCGTCCTGCCTTGAATTACCTTTGCTCAAATAAAATAAAATAAAATAAAATAAAATAAAATAAAAACAAGAACCAAATTAAACCACCAGGAAAGACTGAACTTTGTAGAGCAGCCTTTGCCGCATCCCCACGAGCACAGCCATGCCCGTTGTGCTGGAATGCCTGCGGGCCCTGGGGCTGCTGTTTCTCTCTCCAGGATTTTGGGGGTTTTCCTCACACAAAGTGCTTTGCTGTTTGCAAACGATGTGGCAAATTTACAGGAGGTTTAGAGGTTTTGTTTCGGTTTTTTATCTTTCTCTGGCTACTTTTACTCTCCCTTTTTGAAGTGTTATCCATCTCTTTTGCCATTTCTTTCAGAATCGTCTGAATAATGTGTCAACCAGTGAGATATGTTTTGCTAGCTGGCTAAGTCCAGAATATTGGGCTCTCTAGTGTCTGGGTCTTTACCCACAGTGGTGCTTTTTTCAGGTTATTTACAAAAGAGATGGGATTGCTAGAAACAATGTTAAAAACACTAAATAATTTGCCTGGCAGACACGTGCATGGATTTGTCGGTTATAGCTGGTGAAAGCTTTGCAGTGCAGGCAGCCTGCCCCTGAACCCTCTCCAGGCTTGGTGAGACATCACCAGCTGGGTTTCTGCACAGCAATGCCTTTTTCCCCACGCAGAGCACTGGAATATACTGGGTAGATTTAAAGCATTTTGAGAGTTGTGCACCTGAAAATATGGAAGGACTCACAGCACTGGCTTGCTTTCTAGTATCACGTTTAGATGTGAAGGGCAGTGGTGATGTTACTGTGCACCTGCTACACAGATAATTCTCATTTGATGAATATCTTTTGAACAGTGAAGCCCAATCTTCCCAATCCGTGCAATTCTGGCGCCTTTAAAGAGCTGTTTCCTCCCTTTTGGCAAAGCCAAATGAAGCCCAAACCCTTCAAGTTAGGTAGCTCAGCATGCTCTGGCTCTAATCAGAGGGGTATGCCTCCCTCTCGCCTTGAGGACTTGCTGCCCTGGTGAATTTAATGCAACACAGTGGGGGCTAGTCTCCTGGACCAGCCAAGGCAGTGTGCAGGGCAACTGCTCGCTGCATGGAAGGTGCTTCCTTCATCCCCTCCAGCCTCAAAATTAAGCCGGTTAAGTCAGAATTCAAGATCCCACACCCTGGTTTCACCAGCGGCGGAGAGAGGAGAGAGATGTGACAGTGGCATAATGCTCAGCTCCCCGTGCTTGGTTATTTGGCGGTCCCAGGTAGAGCAGGGTGGGGGCTGAGCTTCTCTTTGGCTCCTGCATTCACAGCATTTACCCCATGTCAGGCAGAAAGGAGCAAAGCCCAGAGACGGAGGTTCCTGGGGAGGCCTGGGGCTTTGCTGCTGCCTCCTGCCAGCCCTAATAATGTGTTTTCTTTCTTCTGCAGGCCTATACAATTCAGGGACAATATGCTATTCCACACCCGGATGTGAGTTTTACCCTAATTTTTCTTATACCCTTTTATGTCACCTGCATGCTACTGTTAATTCACATAATATTAATATTAGACAATAATATTAATAGAATATTTGCAAAGTAACTGGCCATGTGTAGTATCTGTAATACCTTGAATAGCCTTTTAACCTGTTAGCACTAAACTTTATTAATTCTGAGGACTTGGCCTGATGCTAAATTGTTTGCTTTGTTCAGTGCTATCCCTTTGTTCTGAGAGAAACCATACTCTATGCATTTTGTGCCTCAAAATGATCAAAACAAGCAAAAAAAGGGGGAAAACGATTTTCTCCTCTATTTTCTCCTTGTCCTTAAAATGTTGGCAAACTGATTAGGAGCTGAGTGCCTTGGTGGGGTGGGAAGAAGCTCTACTGGTATGTGGTTTCTTGCTTGAAGCCTGGGCAGGGGCACTTGCCTTTTTGGGGGGGTCCTCCTCCGGGTGACTCGGAAGCAGGCACTGAGGTTGGGCAAAATGACACCTGCATCCCCTGGCGGGATGGAGAGGATGGCTGCCTGCCATTCTGCTGGATCTCACATTACTGAGGGCTCAGTTCCTCCCTGGGAGACTTGGACCCTGGACCAAAGTGGCCGCCCTGGGTTTGATGGCTGTCTCACTGGGTTTGGCTTGCTGTCACCTGAGAAAATACAGAATGATCTCTTTCCCATAAACTGTGCTCCACAGGAAAGAAAATTAAAAGTGTCATTATCAGTAGTATCCAGAAGGGGGCACTCGAAGGGCACAGTGGGCACAGTCCCTGCTTCGTCTTGTGCTTCTTGGTGTGGAGACAGGTACTGCTCAGTCTCGCAGCACGGATGGGCTTTGTCGATGCTTAGATTCCCCCTGCTTGCAACAGGCACCCGCGCCTGGGATGGGTCAGGAAGCCACAGCACGCTTGCCGGGGGAACATGGAGGGAACATCTGCTGGCATGTCTGTGCATAAAAGTGCCAACAGAAATAGAGAACAAGTTTATTTTAAAGGATTTCTCTATGAGAAGCAGCAGTGAAGCACTGCAATGCCAGCAGCTCCTTGCTGGCAGCAGACAGCTGCTCAGCTGCTGGGGTCGGCATGGCTGACACATGCTGGGGAGCTCTTGGAAAAAGCTAGGATTTTCTAAATGTTTTTCAGAGGGGATAAAATACCCAGTGAGTCCCATTGCAGAGGCCTCTTCTTGCTGGCATGCCTGTGAGTTGGGGTCTGCAGTGGGGGCTGAGCACAAAGTGCATGTGGCTTGGTTGTAAGCAGTGCGGTCTGAGTGGAAAGCCCTCTCCAACCATCCCGCACCTGGGAAGAGTTTGACATAGCTTGGTGTTCCTCTTTCAGATGGGTGCATTGGGTATTAAATAATGGGATTATTTTTTTTGCATGATTGAGAACAGGGAAAGGCTGTCTAATACCACAAATGCACGCTTCTTGTGGGAACGGTTAGGAGCTGCAGGCTGGATTTTGTTCTTAGGAGCAGTGATTTCACCCAGTTTAGTGAAGGCTTTGGCTTTCCATGTGACACCAGTACGCACGTAGTTTGAAAATCCTGCTGTGATATTTGCTTGGAAATATTCTTAGTTGTGTGCACTTCACTTTTGCTTCCTAAGCAGAATATAAATAAATACACCTGCGTCTTTAGTGTGGGTAGATCGATATATTCTTTGTCCCAGTTTTCCTTTGCTAGCAGTGGTGACAGCTTAGTGTTTTCCTTGTCATTATATTCCTCTGATTGACAGGAATAAAATACATTTAGTGCATGTGCTGGCTGCGCTCTGCCCTATTCCCAGTGGATTTGCTGAGACCTGGAAAAAGTTGTTTGTACAGGGGCCATGCATTCCCTCCTTGCTCTTACAGCCCTCTCGCAAGGATCGGTCATTTTAAACACTGATGAGTGCAGAAACCAGTCTTGAACATGGTTTTTAGGCATTGCCCATGCTCTTGCAGGTGTGTTTAGTGAATGCCTTTGCAGACCCATGGTGGCAAAGCAGGCAGAATTTCGAATGCCGAAGCTAAAATGAGAGCTCCTGCCTTGATTTTCACCTCTGGGAAAAGACCTCAGGTCGGTGGGAGTTTTGGCTCACAAAGAGCTTCAGCATTGCCCGGGTACTCGTAAGCCCTTCAGGATGTGATGTGGAGCTACCTGCCTTCACAAAATTTGGGATGGGAGATGAAAGAATGGCCATGGCAGCTGGGAGTTGGAGATGCTTGGGAGTGAAATAAATGTCAAGCGCAGGAAAGCTCCCAAACCAGGGCATCGCTCCTGGGTATGCACCAGGCTGGCAGCTGATGAGATGGAACTGGGCGTTGCTGCAGGTACCCAGTGATGCTCAGCATGGCTGTACATCGGTCCCAGTGCTCCTGTCCTGTACCTCCCAGCAGTGCCAGTGGGGAACTCCCCTCTGTTCTGCAGGGGAAAGCCAGGGTTGAAAGAAATGCTCTCAGGTTTTTGCTTTCAGCATTTTCCAGGGAACAGGAGAGGAGGCGTTTCGTGCACCGCAAGCAGTAACGTAGCAGCTTTCATTTTAACTCCTAGGCGTAGCCGTCTTTTTCTCTTTTAGGCCTTTTTTTGCTGCTATTGTGGGTGTTTGCTAAATACCACTGTCCAAACTGTCTTAAAAATATGTTAGATCAGTATTAGAAAGGATTTTGGTGTTTTCCCCATCGGGTGAAGCAGGACCCCTGCCCTGGGGCACGGTTGGAGCCCAAGGGGCTCTGTCTCCACAGTGCTCCAAAATAGTTTTAGTTGTCCTTTCATTCATTATCAGAGTCACAGAACATAGCATGAACAGGAATGTCGTAGATCCTACTGTTTTCAGTAAACAATAGCAGTATTTAGAGTTTGAACCAGATGTCCTCCAGGCATCACTTCCACCCTAATTTATTCTATGATTCTATGGTTTTATGTTTAACAACTATAAATATATATGAATTGCACACCAGAGGTGGTGTGAGCCAATTCCTCCTAATGGAAAAGGGTGGACTTGAAAATTTCGGCATCTTTCTTCATGAAGAAGCAACACAACTAGTAAAACAAAGGGTCAGCTGTAATATAGGTTTAACAAAGTGTAATTGGACAAGAAAAGGAAAAGTGAGACAAAAAGCACTTGCAGAGGAATGCCATATAAACTGGAAAGCTGGAAAGACATTGGAAATCCTAAGCTTGATGGGTTAGAGGTGGAATTATGCAGGATATCATTATGAAAATGTCCCAGTAAAAAAAAGAGCGGGATTTGGAGAATCGTGTGAAAGATGCATTCAACTAATTGAGGAAAAGCAGCACAGGCACCAAGAGTGATTGCAATGGAGACTTCAGCAATGGGTTTCATTTCAGAAAGCCAGAGAGCTCTGTTGGAGCCCAAGGGGCTCTGTCTCCCTAGGCGCCTCAGTAGTTCTGGCAAAGACACATGAGCTTTTATCCAGAGTCCTGCTGGTGGGACTGGTTGTATTGAGGAGCTCTGCAAACAGGGTGCACCTAGGATTAATTTAGGAGAAAACAGGAAAGTTCTTCAGTTAAAAAGTGGTGGATGCTGATGTCCCTGACTGTGTTGCAGCGGGGACCCTCCACAGTGTGTCTTCAGCTTATTTTCTGTGATGCTCAGGGAGAGATGTCCATGCACATCGTCTTGTGGGGTGTCAAGACCTCTCCCCCTCACGCCTCTGCCAGGCCAGGCTCCCTCGGGTACCTCTCCAGGACTTGCAGGTGTTTCCCCTCCCCGCTGCCTCCCTCCAGTTTCTCCCCCAGTGTGCTCAGCCCCCCCAGTCTGCTCTTTCCAGCTCTTCCCCCTTACTGCTGCCAGCTGTACCTCCCTGCGCTCCCTCCCCAGCCATGCTAGAGGAGCAAGGAGGTTTTTTCAGAATTATTTCCCCCAAAATGTGGAAGTCAAAACAAGTGGTGTGTGTTTGGGGGATGATGCGATCCTGGCAACCCTCTGAGCACCAGTGAAACTGCAGAGCAGGAGGTGATAAAGTCCCTCTCTCCTGCTCATTGCTAGACTTCAGTCCAGTTTGTTTTGTTTTCTTTTGTTTTATTGTTTTCGGTTTTGTTGTTTGGTTGCTTTTTTTTTTAATTTGGAGCTGTGAAACAGAGCACAAAATGTATTCCAGACATACTCCTCTCTATGCAACTGCTTCCTGATGGGGCACAAAACCTTACCCAGTAACAACAAGGGATACAAGGATCTGAAATACCTACTGGTCATGGCTGAAGCCCATATTTCCCTGTACCACTTAGGGGCTTGAGCTCATAAGGAGCTGGCTTGTTAAAATGCACTTTGTTTATCTCCCAGAGGTGTTTCCCCATTGGAGGCACAGCACAAGAGCGTTTGCTGTGGGGACAAGCAGTCGTGATGCGGCTCCAGTAGTGCAAAGAGGGTCTTCTGGCTGCTGGTACGTGATGCCCACCAGCTCAGCAGTTTCTCTAAAGCTGCCTTGAAGCGAGCAGCAGCCTCTGGTCACAGGCTGCAAAGCCCAAGAGGGGAGGGCAGTGGCTGGAAGTGCCATAGGCAGTGACAAGAGGCAGAAAATAAGAATGGGCTTCTTGCTGGTATCGTACTTCAGACCCTGACCAAGCACTTCTGCAAAAGATTTGGGCTTTATTACGTTTTACCCAGGCCAAGTCCTTCTGCTAATGTTTTTGCCATGTCTCACCATGGCTTCCTGGTTTGTGGTTTTTTTTTGTTTGTTTTTTTTTTTTTAATTTTTCCCCATTATAATTTTGTTCTTGATTTTCGGTGTGACTTGTTGTACTCTATGACAATAACCTTCTTAGCTCTAATGTCCCTCCTACCCCTCAGCAGTTGACCAAGCTCCACCAGTTGGCTATGCAGCAAACCCCCTTTACTCCCCTTGGACAGACCACCCCCGCTTTCCCTGGTACGTACCCACACACCCTTTCTAGATATCCTTCTCTTCTTACCTGTAGAGTTTCTCTCTCTTTCAAAGCTCATGCTGTTTAATGGAGATAGGCAGGGCAAGTAAAACTGAAGTAGCAATGTCCAGGGGGAAAGTTTAACAGGGAGACAGGATGGATGCTTGGGAGTTACGGTCCTCACAGGCGACCTCTCAGCCATTAACTCTGCACACCGGGACTGCTCCTGCGAAGCCACGCTTCCCTGGCTTATCCAGCAGAAGTGATGAGCGCCAGTCCCATCTTTCCTGCCCAGAGGAGGTAGCATCTCCCACCGTGCGCTGATCTGGACCTCTGTGGGACATTCCTG